TATATTTTGTTCTATTATTCCTCCATAATATCCCATTGTAAATACATATATACACATTCATTGTACCGCATTATTCCACAGAATATCACATTCATATCCAAGAAAACAATAGAAAACATATGTATCCGCTGGTAAATGAACAGTTCGACCCTTTTACAATCACCTTTGTTTCGATTTTCGAAACTCATCTTCCAACGTCCAACTTGCAGCAGGGTCTCCAGAAAACAAGCCATCCTCCAAGGTGGTGCTCTTCCAGTTATAAGTTGGTTTAACCATCTCCGGGTTTCGGCTTCCTGCGCCGTTCTGCTGTCGTATCGGTTGTTGTTTTACTGCCTCAGCATATTCCAACCTTCTCCTCTCGGGAACTGGCGGAGTCGATTTTCGGTTCAGGGAGTTTTCCTGAAGGACCTCACGAAAGCCGTAAGTCGCTTCACTGCAAGGTTGTGAGGTTCTCCGAACTGCAAGAGGAGGTCTTCGCTTTCAAAGCTCTGGGATTTGTGACCGTGGTGGTTTGGCAGGCAGAAATTTCGACAACTTCGGCGTGGGATGAAGAAGGAATCGATGTAGAAACCCAGGGCTTCAAGGTGACAACGGATGGAGCCCTTCGAGATCTAGAGCGTGAGGTTGAGGCCGAGCTTGCTTCGATATATCTATCATTAGTTACTATAAACCATAAGTTTAAGTTTAACCTTCACTAGTAACTATAGTTTAACCTTCACTATATGGTTTAAAAAATCATTAACATCCATAAACCATATAGTGAAGGCTCCCGTGCCCAGGACATGATGGTCCATGAACCCTGCGCTATTACCTGCCGCGTGGCGCCCAGCTTTCTGCGTGTGGGCCACGTGGATCTCTTTGCACGCCGGGCGACAGCACCTGGGCCCAGCTCTTCGGTGGATTGGCTAGTTGATTTGTGGTAGTTGAATACATGTTAATTTGATATTTAGGTAGTTTCATACAGTTCATATATATATATAAATTGTTTTGTGGTAGTTGAGACATTGATGGTTTTGTGGTAGTTTCATATGTTGTGATGTCCAATTGTGCATGTTATTCATCTATATTCATTTTTTGTTGAATTTACGGGTTGAGTTTCACCAGCGTCCAAAATCCCTCAAGTGGTGGTTATGAAAGAGGTGTGAAAAGTGCCATGCCTTAACGAAAGTTTATAAGTCTACAAAGTGCCCCCTAGTAGTCAGCTGAGTTTGATTATAGCTCCAATATATAATTGGGGGTTTTGGTAGATATATGTTTTCTGGTTGGTGGTTTGGAACATTTTTTATGACTTGCCATATATTGGGAATGTCATCATCCCAACTGACGAACTCCATCATTTTTCAGAGGGGTAGGGTTCAACCACCAGATGATTATGACATATTGTGACCATATTTTGGGAATCATCCATAAGTCCCAGCTATGTTTGAATCCTAGGAATTCTGTCCGGTAAGCCAGGGGTAGGTATACCACCAACCAGTTTTAGTTGGCATCACCTTGTAGGTCCTGGGAAAAAAGTGCCAGATTTACCACCAATTCCCGATCCCAGGGAACTTGACTTGGAAATTTCCATGTTTTTCGCTCCTTGGGGGATACAGTTGCTCTACAAAAACAGACAAAGATGATAGATAAAGATAGATATAGATAGATAGACTATGGATATATAAATAGATAGATATATCTATAGATGGGATCCAAGATGTGGATCATGACTATTTGGCCGCTCAAACAGCCTATTTTTGGGTGCCATAGGTAGACCTACAAGCAACAAGAAAAAACTTTCAGCAACATGGAGACTCTGGAGACTCCGCAGCGCTTACTGGAAGATCATATAAAAACCGAATATCTGATTTGTAAATGTTGGTAAGTGGTTAGTAACCCTGGTTAGTAGATCTATATGGGACTACTTTACGATCCGTGAGGATTTATCCAGCAGAAAACCATCGGGGAGATCCCCCACACCAGCGGCTTGCGAGTTCCAACAGTTATAGCCCACTCAGGCAGTTATGGCCATGGGATTTAAACTCCTGCAACTGGTTGGTTGTATGAGTTTTAAGATAGATAGATAATTGATATAGATAGAAAGATATATAGATTAGATTAGACTAAATTGGACTAGATTAGATTGGATGAATAGATGGATCCTCAGGTTTGCTGAGATGATTTTGCGTGACAGGTGCAGCAATTCATATGACCTGGCATCACTTTTTCCTGGCAGGCGCAGTACTTTAGACAGGTGGACTGGAAAAATCGCAAAACGCATTGGCACGAGGCCGTCAGCTCTGCACTCAACTTTCCATTTTTGAAGGAAGTCTCGGAGAATTGTTTCGTTTTTATTCGTTTTTGATGTTGTCAACTTCGAAAATTCAGGAAGTCTCGCAGAATTGCTTCGTTTTTGATGTTGTCAAGTTCAAAAAATTGAGGTCAAGTTCAAAAATTGAGGAAGTCTCGCAGAATTGCTGCGTTTTCAAGCTTGCAGGTAGACGGACAGACAGACAGGCAGACAAATAGATAGATAGATAGATTGATAGATAGATAGATAGATACACAGATCGATAGATCGATCGATAGATAGATAGATAGCTAGATAGGTAGATAGATAGCTAGATAGCTAGATAGCTAGGTAGATACATAGATAGATAGATAGATAGATAGACAGATAGATAGACAGATAGATAGATAGATGGATGGATAGATAGATAGATAGGTAGATAGATAGATAGAAAGATAGATAGATAGATAGATTAGCTAGATAGCTAGATTAGTTAGATAGCTAGATAGCTAGATAGCTAGGTAGCTAGATAGCTAGGTAGCTAGATAGCTAGGTAGCTGGATAGCTAGGTAGATACATACATACATACATACATACATACATAGATAGATAGATAGATAGAGAGAGAGAGAGCTAGATTGGATCAGATTAGATTGGATTTGATCTGATTTGATTAGATTGATAGGACCTTAGGATAAGAAAGAAAGAAAGAATGAAGGAAAGAAAGAAACAAAGAATGAAAGAAAGAAAGACAGATAGATAGATAGATAGATGGATATCATTTTTCCACCAGTTACAATTTTTCAGTTTGACAATCGCCAAAACTGCAATGAATAAGTTGCTTAGGATGGGTTGAAGTTACTTGGGAATGCACGCAGAGATGGTGTCTTAATCAGACAAAATCATGAAATATCCAAAACAAACAAAAAGATTTAGGATATCTTAGGATAAGACCCTGAAAGGAGATGGATATGATTATCTCTTTTGTACAAATGGAAATGTACATGGACCTTCCAAAATCGTTTTTTGTTTTAGATTCACCCCACCCAACTGTAGAAACCTCACGGATTCCCGGCGTTTCTCAGGCGAGTAGTGCCACCGCGGAGCAGCTCCGGGAGCACGAACTGATGCTGGAGCACGCCCTGTTCCGCGAATACCCGGAGCCCATCCGGTTCCGGTGGAGGTGGTGGTGGATCTGGTAATTTTTTGCTATTGAAAAATTGTCATAGGAATATAGAAATAGTTGATTATTTGTCCATGAGAAATGGTATATTCTCTGGTAAACAAACATGTTTTTTTTTCAAAATGGTGATTTATAGTTGATTTACCGATGAATAGCATGATGATTTTCCAGTTCGTTATGTTAATTCGTTTATCAGAGGCTATGGTACTTGTTGGTGGAGTTGGTGGATCCAGCTACTCACCAATTCGCTAATCTGTAGATGGGCGATGGGATTAGAACACATGGTGAGTAGCTGGGTCAGATTCCACGAACCATTCCCAATTAGGATTCCTTCACTAAAACTATAGTTCGCTAGCTCACAGGTCAGTGCCTTCGAAGTAGAATTAAGCAGCTACTGAGATTGGAATACCCAAATTCAGCCATTTTATGGGAAACGTACATATAATATATATATATATATAAAATAGGAAATCGGAGTAATGGATGGCCCAAAATTGGACATACAGCACACCAAAGATCGTTCGGTTCGATGCTAAAATGACCATTCATTCGATTATCATGGGTGCATGTGTGCACCAGTCCTGAGTAATGTAATGGGAATCTTTGGGCGACACAGCAACGATGGGGCCATGGTTGAATTGAACAACCATGGTTGAATGAAACAAGCAAGGGCAGGCCCTCAAACAAAAGGGTTCAACAGCGGAGGTTCATAACCTGAAAAGGAAAGTGTTCATATTCTTTGCGGAGTACCTTTCAGGTGATACCCTCATGTTTCCGTGAAAGTGCGTTGGCGAATGGGAAAGGTGATGGGATGGGAACTGTAGCGTGGTTGCGTTCGATCGCTTTTGCCATTTCTACAGAGGATGCGTGATGAAATTGCGCATATTCCATTGACACTAGTGTTGAACGGTAGGCCTACCCAGTTTGAAACGGGATTTTCATTTTTGTTCTCATGTGTCAGGTGAGTTTTAAGATATACGGTTCTTCTTTACAAAGTCTCAAATGGAGACCATCTTGGAGATTGGTTGCTGTGCAGTTGTAGTTTCACCTTTTAGAGGTCTATGCATGGATAGTTGTTCTGCTTCTTGGTGCGAAGGGTAGAGTTTTTGGGGCTTTTGCAACAGAGGTATTTTTGGGGTGCCCCAGTTCGTTCGCTGAGTTGGTTCTCCACTAGCGTTCTGGGTAGACGTTGGCATCACATCTCGCTATGGCTACAGAAATTGCCTTCGACAGTTGGGGTCCCTTGTTCTCAAATCCTCAGACTGCCTACACTGCCGCTGAGTGGACTTATGTGACAACGTGGTGTGCACTGTCATACTTCAATCTGTATGGAAAATTAAACCAAGACAATGAAGCCAGACTCTTTTGTTCCATGCTGTCAGGTGTTGGCGATACGAATGGTTCAAATGGTCGAACAAACAACGCAGAGCTTAGGTCCGCTTGTGAAGAGGCGGCTGAGATCACGCTTCCACCGATCAACGTGAACAAGCGGTCTGAAATTGCTACACCAGGCGATGATGTGTATGTGAGGCCGAAGTCAATCACCGGAGCTGCAGTGGTGAATGGCTGTCTGCTGGCACATGGGCGTCCAATGTCAGTGGCGAAAAAAGATCTTGATGATCGGGAAACAAACATCTTAAGGACACAACTCGATGCAATCGGTGCCTTTGGACCTTTGATGAGGAAGCTTGGCACAACCACCTCTTGGGTGGAAACTGCTCCTGTACATTTTGCCAGACAGGAGAGGACTGTGGGACCCCCCCAGTTAGAAGTTGGTTTGTCAATCCCATTAATTAACTATATACTTATACAATGTGAGGCCCCTAAGATAGCTAAGTTGGTTTATAACTCCAATAACTATGGTTTATGGTACTTATAACTATAGTTACTGGGGCTTATAAACCAACTTATAACTGGGGGGCCTCACATTGTAAGTATCATAAACCATAGTTGTTGGATTTATTGGTACCAACTTGACCATAGTTGCCATGGTTTATAAACCAACTTGTAACTGGAGGGCAGCACCTTGATACTCCCCATCAGTGGTCAATGGCTTTGGCACTCCCACCATGCAAAGAGATCCAAACCCCAAAGAATCACCACCCACATCCTCTATATAGAGTAGAAAAGTATTCACTATAGCCATTTACCCCAACAGAAAGGCCATGAGGTGGGCCCCTCTCGTTATAACTTGGTGAACACGAACATTAATAACTATAGACTATACATATGTCTACAACCATAAACATCCATAAACCCTAACCTGGCTATAGTCACCAACTTCGCCGAACTGGGGCACCACAAAAAGTACCATGGCACGCCAGGAGTGCAGCGCTTCAGGGTCTTCGTTGCCCGAACGCGCCACAGCCATGATGCGGCAGGTCTCCAAGAGGTTCGCACGCTTGCGCCTCGTTGATCAAGTGGATGGGAAAAGGTGTCAGCGGAAGCGGATTTCGCCCATCCAAAAAATGGTGGGTTTAACCATTCGGATCCAGGTTGGATAAACATCTGATGTCTTAATATGTCTTAAAATAAAGAGGAAGTAAAGATTTGATTCTTGTTGAACATGGACCCTAGACAAGGTGTAACCATCAAAGTTTCCCATTAGATAACAATAATCAAGGTTGCTCCAACCCATAGTAATGATAGTCAAAGTTTGGGGGGCGAAAAGTGTCATCTGAACTCTTTTTCTATCCAGTTCCCCTTCCTATATTTGGGATGCTACTGTAGGAGCAATCCTGATACGTAGATATCAACCACAAGATGGCCACTAGATAGCTATGTTGCTTTACACTAGCTTAACCATGGCTGGTTGTTGGTTTGGAACATTTTTTGATTTTCCCATATATTGGGAATAATCATCCCAACTGACTTTCATATTTTTCAGAGGGGTTGAAACCACCAACCAGATGGTTTATGGTAGATATATCGATAGTTCATGGGCCTTTGAAACCCGCATGTCATAGTGAAACAACCATTGATAGGACCCAAGGCAAGTTGCCGCCGGCAGACACCCAAGTGATCCTAACCCGAGATATATCATATATGTACTATTTTTTTTTAAGAAAAACTATATACATATATATATATAATAGAATTATATTGATATAATGATATACACAGCATCTGCATTATATGCATTATATGCGTTATATGCAGTGTATGCATTGTATGATTCACACTTCTACTTCTACCATAAATCCAACACGTCGCCTATTGAAACAAACAGACGGAAACCTATCGCAAGTTAAGCAGCAGTTCCCAGTTTTGGTGATAAATTTTCTCAGCTATTTCCAGTGGCTAAAGCCGCAAAAGCTGAACGAGTTTGGGGCCCCTTCTTTTGGTCTGCAGAGAATGCTGCAGTTGTTGTTTCGATGATTTGTGTGTATAGATGATCTTGCAATATATTGAGGCCTGTATCAGCATTGCTTCACTGAAAGCCATTTGCAACTGGTGAAAGCACTTGATCGATATCTTCGTGAATACATTTGCTTTTATCTGTTTTGCGGTGAATGATGATGAATTCTATGAAATACAATAGATTATGGTATGAAATCTTTGAAACGAGGCGGTAATGCAACATTCCAGTCATTTTCACGTTGCTACTGCCATAGGCATATTATAGATGTGTAAAGAATACCAACTTCAGCCTTCAAATGTTGGTACGTTTTGCATTTAGGGAGTTCAAGAAATACCCTCTAGTTATTTAACATAGCCATGGAAAATGGCCCATTTATAGATGATTTTCCAATGAAACCTTCATTTATAAGGGATTTTCCATGGCTATGTTAAATAACCAGACGGTAGATGTGTCATGATTTCTCGGATAGGAGAGAAGGCCGCACTGACTTTTTCGATGTGAACCCGCATTTCTCATGGACGAGGTCCTGTTCCGACCAGCTATGGTGCTGGGCCTGCGTCGCAAGCAGTTGAAAAAAAAACATGTAGAGATCCAAAAACAACCACATTTTTCAAACCGGGGTATGATACGCTCATTACCCACTTACCAATTTATATTTGTCACCCAAATACCATGCGATTTATTATTGTTTGTTGTTTTGGCATCCAGAAGCCATCTACCATGCATGTGGATCGTGGATGATCGTAGCACGTTTGCCAAGGATCTCTGGCTGGTTGCGAGTGGGTTTCTGCCAGGGCAACTTCAACGCAGACAACTGCTGCTGGGGTCTGCAGATGGTTGTGACATGTTGTGACATCTATCACCAAAATGGCTAGAAAAAATAATTGGGAACAATTATGATTAACCCGTTAAATTTGAGGGCAAACTATTTTCAGAAAACCCAAACCTGTTTTTTTCATACATTTATGTCTATGTTTGTTGTAAATACGTGGGTCTATGCCTGCCATTGGCACCAGCCAATTTGACTTTGGGCGAAGACTTAGCGCAAATAAAGCATTGAGGATTTGCAGTCATGTACTCCAAGTTGTTGCAGATCCATTTTCGAACCACCTGGCGCTTGGCACTCATCTCTGGAGAATATGTTATGCTACCCATGGCATAGCCATCAAGGTGCAAGTCAAAGAGTCATTTACATGGATTTGCTGCGAGTCTTTCTTTGAATGCAGTTATGGCCGTTGACCAATTTTATAAATGGTTATAACTGGTGATTTCTATGGTATTATACATGCCGCAAACAGGGTGACTTAGTACTTATAGCTGGTGAAAGGCCAAACTGTATTCTTAAATCCACGATTTGTGGAATCTACTGAGGGTTTGTTTTTACCGTTGACGCCCCAATCAGCAAATCATAACAAGTGCAAGTTTACGCTTTGCGATTCTTGTTTCTCCATGCCCCTTGTGTATAGCTACATATAGCCCATTTGGTCCATAGCCTGTCCTTGCGGGTGCAGTTCCAACTATACTTGGATAAATGAACATATTCCAACTATACTTGGATAAATGAACATACATATAGGGGATTTATAGGAGTTACATTTATAACATCCCAACTCATGTGGTTTAAATCCCACACTGATCCCATCAAAGTCACCCCGGTCCTGCACCCCCAAGTAGTTTTGCACATTTGGAAAGCGTACTGCCTACGCATTGTATGCGCATATCCTGCTTCACTTTAGACTACATCTAGGTGAGAGACTCCAGGGTCCCTTCTTCAGGTTTGGTGGGCGGCCGCACCATGGATTATGGACCCTTTGGTGCCTTAGTCGTGGTGACAGACATGGGTTTGGTACCTGAAATGGGGTTCGGCTATATAGAAACCATCAAGAAACGGGAGTATTCTGGTGATATATTTCGGATATTTAACCAATGTAATTTGATATGATTTGGGATCGTTTGCGAATGTCAGGCAAAAGCTTCAACCTTCATGGTTTAATTAATATTTAGAATGTTTCCTATTAAAATCGAATGGGAATATTTGTTTAGGAAGACGAAGCACAAAGATTTCTGTGTAGGAAATGTGTCTATAGACCAAAAAAGGCAAGCTCAGCATCATGTATCGAAGCCTTTGGAGATTCACCTCCGGCCGCATCAGTTCCAATCATAGCCTGGGCCGTCAAGATGCGCGACCGCTGAGATTTTTGTTGCCATAAATGTTTAGTTTTTTTCCATGAGAAAAACATATCTAGACATAGGGGATTTTCCAGCGAACGAGCGCAGGGGGTGTCCCAGTACATTGTGGATGATCAGCAATTCTACTGGGCCATGGGCCATGGTTTGTTAGGGAAAACAAGTTAGTATACATGGATTATTTCATTGTGAAAATAAAAAAGGGGGTCACTTATAACCCCAGTTACTAACCAGGAATCGCTAATTCTATGGCCCATCGATCAGAAAACTAGGGTTTTTCACAAAATGGAACCTCATCATATACCCATCCCATACTTTTTGGGAATCAAAATGGCGGTCAATCCAATGATCCAATCCGTGGGATTTTCAGAAATTCAGCCTTTTCGGTGCAGAACCTCCGTTAAGAAAGATACAGGAGCAATAAAAATATCCCTACAATGCAACAACAAGCAGTGGTCCAAAAGCAGAATTATAGCTTTAACCCAGATATTTATAGGATTTTCCACATTCAAGATGAGAGAACATCTGATAGGAAAAGATGAGTCAAGACAAGATAAGAGAGCTAGATCGACAGATACCTAGATTTAAATAGACATATTTCAAGATACATAGATAGCTTACATTCATGGCCCTTTACCAGTCACAAGTCAGTGAAATAACTGCATTTATGGAATGATAACCCCATAGAAACAAGCGTAAAAAGAACTGGTTTCTGCAAAGTGGAGCCCGCAAACAATCGCTAGATAGTCAAGTTGTTGAACATAAATCCAAGTTCACTATGGTTTATCATACTTAGAAGTATAGTATTCATGGATATTCATGGTGTTTATTGGCACCAACGGCACCACATCAGGTTGGATCGAACGCTACGATCCCAGCTTCGCCAAATGGGTGGGGTCATCCATGCACTTCGCCTTTGTGTTTCATGGCGCACGTTTAAAACGGGGGGGAGCGACGCCATGAAACAGTCCTCAGAACGTTGGTGAACGCCAAGTTGGTGAACAGAACTACAATAACTATGGTGTATGATATTTATAACATTTACAACTATAATCTGGTCGGTAGTTTGGAACATGACTGGATTATTTTCCCATGTATTGGGAATAATTATCCCAAATGGCTTTCATATTTTACAGAGGGGTTGAAACCACCAACCAGCCATAGGGACGAGGCGATAAAGGGACCAGTTATGACGTGTTTGATATGAGAGGGGGAGTGGGCTGCTCTGGAATGGTTGAAGAAATGGTTGTGTCTTCGTCAAAAAACATGTTAATCTATGTTAATGGACAAGAAAGCAATTTGATATGAACGAATGTGTTTGTCTTTAAATGAGGAGACACCCACATGACAATTTACTACATAAATGAGAAAAGATGGTAACCCAAATGTTTTAGGCAAATCCATATCCCATGACGGATCCATGGTGCTGCTATATATGGTGCTCCATGGATCCCATCAATATACCCCCTTTATGTTAGCATTAATATACAAGCGCACCATGGATCCGTCATGGGTATTTGAGATGAAGAATCACATACGCACAAGCTGCCAATGCCAGTGGTACATCTTGGGAGCCGATCCCACAAAAAAGACCGCAGTCCACATCCCAGGTCTTTCCCCATGTGTTTCTTAGACCATTGAGCTAGTGAAATTTAGGCGGAGAGTTTTTTGGGTCATTAATATGTGGCTGTTTTAGTGTGATTTTTTTAAGGGGAATGATGATTTCATGGCTTTACAGCTAGCCAACTGTGGGATATCTGCCACACAATTGGTATCATAGAGAAAATAGTGATGAGCCATCAAATCTTGGGTGAAGAGTATCGATTTTCCAATCTTAGGAGCAGATGGCAGACAGCTTTTTTGTGGCGACGTTCCTTAAAGAAGTTCAAGGATTTACCTGATGCTTCCCTCTGACCATACCCGCACTGGCTTGTATCAGAAGATGTCTTCTCAACTAGGTCAATCTTACATGGGTACTTTAATCCTTTAGTCTTTTGGTATTAGTGGGACTATCTACTAACCAGCAACGAATTTAATTTGTTGCAGGGTATCTAAGATTGGCAATGTGAAATCACAATGATATGTGTCAACATATATTATAACTATCACACCACAACTTCACAACATCACAAACTTGGAGGTGCATCCAAAAAAAAGCAAGTCAGTGACAACCACATTATACACCCACAAGTAACTATAACTTATATAACTCCTATAAAACCCCTAATCACATTATGTATGCGTTATCTAGGAGTTATATAGGGCTTATATGTTTTTTTCAAGTGGGATGCCAGTCTCGTCCGAGGAATCAGCCCCAGGCGGCCTTGGCCAATTACACCACTCTCGCCAGATCCATGCAGCCGGTTTTGACGGTTGAAACGCTACAGGCGCCGTGGAGCACAGTGGATATGGAGATGTGGGTGTGGGTCTTCTGAAGCCAACTGCTTGGTGATTTCAATGATGTTTTTACCCGAAAACATCCAGAAACCTTGTTGTTTGGGATCATGATCCGCAGAAGTCTTTTCTGAGGGGGGTTGAAGCCACCGCAACCAGCTAAGATTTGTTTCATATGGCTTTGTTTGAAATTTTTGGGGAAGGATTTCCCAATTCAAGGCGGTTTTGTGGGAGAACATGAGTGTTTTATTGTCCATATTTCCTGGATGAAATTCCAGAACTACCAGTTGCAAACTCGTGTGAGAGCTGTGGAGATTGCTGGCTGTGAATTGTTGGTGCGACTTACTATTGTTAATGTCCCAAACTTGCGTTATCTTGTGTCTGCTCCAAGCTCATTTATTCATCGATTGCTTTGAAAATCAGAAGATCTGAAATTCAGAAGTTAATTTATGAAGTGTTTCCAGGAAGTGCTTCATGCACGGCTATATTCCGAGCTTCATATATGGCTATGGATCAATACCTACTAATACCATTTTTAGGGGAATGAACATCCACTTACCAGCTATTTTGATGTTCACCAGGGGGATAGGGTTTTGACCCATCCCCATATGAATTTCTATTCTCAGAGAAGTTTTTTTCATCGCTGGCAGGAGCTGGTGCAAGAAGCTCGCGAGGTTGAACGGTTGGCACATGTTGGCACTGGGGATGGAAGATGTCTTGGAAACCAAATTCTATGGATCTATAAAAACATTATGTTTATATCTATAGCCTATAGAAAGTTATATCTATAATAGCCTATGAAAGATATATGATTCTGAAATTTATGTCTATGTTTATGAAAGATATATCTTATATCTAGAGTCTATCGCAACTATAGGTTTATTTATCAACAGTTTATGAAAGATATATCTATAATCCTAGCTCAAATATTGGAATCCTTGGGATCAAGGTACCTTGTGAGGGAAATGTAACCAACCAAACTGAGGATTCTACCGACCAAAATGTATTGGCTTTAAACATCCATTGTTGACGTGGGTTTGTCCAAAAAGGGTAGATCTATCTATCTATCTATCTATCTATCCATCTATCTATATATATATATACATACATGTAATGATAAATCAATTTGTGGGCTGCCATCTTTTTAGACAAACCATTTCCCAGGATACTTTGCGTTGTTGAGTTTAATAACTTGCATAGTATTGCATAATTTTGCATAAGGCCGCGTCTCTGGGGATAGAGATATGGAGGTTTCCTGAAATAGGGGTACCCCCAAATCATCCATTTTAGTGGTATTTTCCATTACAAACAATCTATTTTGGATAGTTACCCCCATTTATGGAAACCCCTATATAAAACCGTATAAAATCTACATCCCCCAAGCTACTGATCATTATTGTGTTGAGCTGTTCGATGGCGCTTCTTTCAATGAACACGACTGTCTTGCACATCAAAACCCATAGACTTGTATCAGTTTGGACATTTGTTGATGACAATAAATCGTCCAAGTATTGTAACACACCATAAACAAAGCTAAATTGGCTGCATATCATCTATAGATACATATACTCACGATTTGAATATATGTTCTTTTTTTATATTGTAGTATCCCCATACAGTGTCCAACTGAAATATGATCATCCTCCCCACGTTCCTGGCGGGGTCGGAGAGGGTTTTCTTCGGATCATGGAATCTACCAATCGACCCTGAATTCGCGAGTTTCCAAAAATGGCATGTTTCTCTACAATTTGAATATAACTATAGTACTTTAACCATATATGAGTGAGGGCCAATGTAATTTTCAAATCTCACGAGCTCACGAATTTGCAGTTCTAAGTGCAAGTAAATACAATGCATGTGCAAGTAAACATCCATGTCTCGCAAGTCTATGCATATGATTCACACAAGTGGAATTCACTAGACTATTTCAGAGCTACATGAGCTTCAGAAATAAAAGTACAGATGAAGACGCAGGTGAACTATACGATTTGACTAGTGCTGCATAGTTTCCTAAGTTGACTCATAGCTTCGTGAATCCTATGGTTTATGGTATTAGATATAACTTACCAAGATGCATGGGGGTTATAAACCAACCAACATAGCCGTACCATTTCAGAGATTGGTAAACGTTACACCTGGATGGGTGATGGGATTCCCTTGCCCTTACCCCAACCAGGAGATGATGCAGTCTGTTGCTGCCATGTGGCGTTCCAAACTGGGAGTCTTGGTTATCTTGGTTGGTGCTGGGAATAGGTTGGGATATGATAGAAGCGAGTTTATGCTTGGCAGGTACCCATGCTACCAGGAAACCACCTGAAACTGGGGATGTTCACCACCGAACTTTGCCATTCGGCTGGTGCGGAGCAACCTCCCAGGATGGTGCCCCCGGCCCCCCAGCTATAAGTTGGTTTACAAACCCCATTAACTATAGTTAATTTACCATAAACCATAGTTAAGTCATGATAAGTCACCTTTAAGGCAACTTAGCTAAGTATGGGGTCCCATCCTGTATGGGTTTTCCATTAAGGTGGAATTTATCAGCAATCACCAGTAGCCAAATCTTAGTCCTTGACGACTTCAATTCTTGGAGCTTTCCACAGCCACATTTTCCCACGACAAATCTTTGAATCTTTGGTGGAGATGTTCGACTTTACTGCATAGCCACGGCAAACAACATATTAGATCATATATGATCATGTTTGATCTTTGATAAATATATATATATAAATGAATAATTATAACTCATTAATTTGGCGCAAATCAACCGCTACGCTACTTGCATCTACTTGCATGCAAGTACAGAATCTTTGGTGTATGTTTTACACTTCTATGACGATACCCTCTGGTTATTGAACATATGGAAAATGGATGAAAATGGTCCATTTATAGATGCTCTATGATGATTTTCCTATCAAAAATGACTAGAACTGCAGTGTCCAGATCTCCGAAAAACCACAGTGCCTCCAAGGATTCGAGGAGGATGACAGCGAGGAGGTTAAGGTGAGATCACAGCGCTGAAACATGGGCAGTGGCTGCGAGTATATGGGGCATTTCCTAAGTCATGGCAGGTACCAGTCATCATCCAGTCGTCATGGATGCCCATGACGACTGGTCTTGCAGCATGAAACAGCCATGGTGACGACTGGGGATCCCCAATTTTGAGAATCCACATGCGAATGGCGAATTTAAGAGCTTCAAGATACAGACCCGAGACGATTCTGTGGCATATTCAATCCATTTTAAATCACTGTGCTAATTTCTTGTTTCCGGCATACGCAATTTTGACCCATATACCCAAGAAGTAGTTGGTCGTAACTGTCAACACCCCAGCTCGATGGCCCACTTTCTCGGAGCACTAACTCCAATGTGGAAAAGCTGTAAAGAGCGCTTTTTTTCTTGGATGGCAGGAGTTTCCATTTCCCGACCATCCAAGTGGTTGCTCCTTTTCCCCAAAAAAAGTATGGTCATTTGCGACAGGCGCAGGCAAATGCCTTGTGGAAACAGCGGCTTGGTGGCAGTTTTTGCAGTTTAGCCACTTTAGCCCTGTGGGTTTTATCACGGCCGGATGTGACAAGGTCAGGCATGTGAATGGAGAGTTGATTTTCGAGCTACCCTCTGGTAAACATACAAAAAGCTATTGAAAATGGCAATTTAAAGTGAGTTTTCCCATGAAAAATTGTTATTTTCCATAGTTATGTTAGTTTACCAGAGGGTAATATATGAGACAGGTTTCTGTTCTTTTTCCGTTTACCGTAACAGTGGGATAGACGGATGAACAGTTGAATGTATTTACCTTGGAGGACTGGGCTTATGCAAAGTGGTATGACTTTATGGGGGTCATTACAAATCCCTGTGAGAAACCTATGCAACTCACCAGCGGAATAAAATCTGACCGCTGCGAAAATGATCAATAACAACTTGGATGATCTTGGATGCCAATCTCCAAGTTTCGAAATCCTTTTGTTTTTTAACGGGTGTATGAAGAGCCCATCCCGCCATGTCGGTGACCCTCCAACAATAGATGGTCAATCAGCCCAATAAGTGGGGGCGTCACCTTGTGGAGGCTTGGCTGAAGCCTCATGATTTATCTTCTATGGTCTATACAATTCGGGGCTTTCGTGTAGCTTACCCGCTTTCCAAGCGCAGAGCAGATGCACATGCCCGCAAGTTCCGACATTTTCTAGGCCTTCGCGGTTCCGAGATCACCACACACACTTTCATCAAGATGGATGAAGCTGGTGAGATCGAACAAGCAGCTCATGCTGTTGGCATGACTCCCGAAACATCGCTCCCAAATAGGTGGCCACACAACGCAGCCCTTAAAAGGGATGTACGTGAAGAGAAGGAGTGCTGCCGAACCGTGCACCTTCAGTCCGGTCGCTGTGTTCCTGCCCCATGAATGGTTCTCCTGGATGGAACATCATGACAATGTTTCTGGCTTTTCTGAGTTGCAAAACTTTTGGGATGAGCATGATGCTGCTGACCCAAGAACCCCATGAAGAGCAACAGGCACCACTTTCTGCCTTTGATCATTCATGGAGATGGAGGTGCTTTTCAGAGGTGTGATTCAATCAGCATCATTTCAATGCGGGCACTCCTACGGATACCACACACATAGCTATCCATGTGCCTGCCTATCCATGTCATTTGATCGACCTTCCATAGCTGATCCCGACAAAACCCAATGAGAATCGCTTGCCAGGAATCCGATTTATCTACCCTCTCATAATTTCAAATAGCTATCTGGTTGAACATTTTTTATTTTCCATAATATATATGGGATAATCCTTCCCATTGACTTTCATATTTTTCACAGGGGTAGGTATACCACCAATCAGCTATGGTAAATGGCCATTTGATGACTTACCTATCAAAAGTGGAAGATCTTTTCCAGTTCGCAAAGTGCAAAAAATTACCACATGGGATTTGACGACATGGCGATCCGAACTTTCCTGCAGGTATGGCCCTTTACCAGTTTTTCCCATGTTATAAGCGCTAACAGTTAACCCCATTTATGGAATGCATAATCCATCATAATCCCATAGAAATAGCCAGTTATAACTAGTAAATGGCCACAAGAAGTAGCCAGTATATCCCATAGATGTGATTTCCCCATTTCTAAAAAAAGTATTTCGGGCCGTACCAAACTTTCCGAGGTTGGAATCCCTGATGCGTTTCTCCGCTGACTTCGTCATGCTCTTCCGACTCCTCTCGGATGCGCTTCTCCTGGAGGAGCCGGGAACGGGGCCGCAGAAAGGTGGTCCCCCGTCATGGCAAAAATGGCCCATTTATAGATGATTTACACATTGGATGTGCCCCCCCAGTTATATCGACCATAAACCATAGTTAAACCACTGAGAATAGGCAACTGAACGCTATCGAACGGGGGCCCCATCCTGTATGAAAGACAGTGATTTTCCCTACAATTAGTTAGTTTTTACTGGATGGTAAGTTTGGAGAAATCACATCCATAAGCCATAGAATTCATCAAACCACATCCATAAGCCATAGAATTCATCAAACAACTCAGCTCTTTTCTTTTGTGGCCCCATCTTGTAGCCATAGAAAATTGTATCAACTGGGGAGGTAAGATAGCTTTGTGCTTGGTGAATTGAATGTATAAGATGTTCGATGCATTTGATGCATTTTGTTGGAGGAGAACTTGAGGTGGTCCCGAGACGAAAACTCCGGATCCAACTGGGATCTTTCCAGTTGGGAAATCTACAGGAAGCCAGTCAGAGATTTGCCAAACCAGGTCTGGTCCGGGGTTGCAGACTAGACTTTCCTGGAAAAAAACAACTATATACTATATTATACTATATAAATATATATATACACATGTCTATAGCTGAATTGATCAACTGGAATAGTTCATTGTTTACTCGTCCTTGAAAAGGATCACTCAGCCGCGAACGATCACTTCACATGCTGAGCGGATTGCAACATGACGGACTCACTCATTCAAAAGCCATTCATCGCCCATATCCCATTTTCTGAATCATCGACCCACAGATTGCTGTTTATTTATTGTTGTTGGCCAGAAACCTATTTACTTGATCAACCTCTGATGACTAGTTTGATGCTGTTTGATGCATGAATCTTTTGGCAGTAATGGGAATGTATACTAACCAATAATAACCAGTTTACAAAGAAATGGAAAATGAAGAACAATTAGTTATCCATGGTAATAACCAATAATAACCAATAATAGCCAATAATAGCCAATAATAACATATAGTAGCATATAATAACATTTAATAACATATAATTTCATATAATAACATTTAATAACATTTAATAACATATATTAACATATAACCACATATAACCAGTTATATAACCAGTTATATAACCAGTTATATAACCAGTTATCATGGCCAAAAGACAATTAGATTATCGAAAATTGGCCATGTTAACTCATGCGATCGCAGGAGACTGACACTGTGTCCGAGCTTCAGCCCGGTTCCATGGTGCGCAGCCCGGCTTCAACTTTTGGAACCTTTGGGCCGAGGTGGACGTCAGGACGTTTTTTTGAAATTGTGAATGATGCAGTTATAGCCCGAGTTATACCAGTTATAAGATGTGATAAGTACATATAAGTACTAGGATGTAGAATCCCATAGAAATCTCCAGTTATAACTAGTAAACGGCCACAACTGTGCAGAATTGACAACTGGGTAAGTATCATTGTCCCAAACTGGCCGAACTCTTCAGGCAGGCTTAGTACTCACTGTCCTCCTTTTATCCTCGGTTTTTTTCGGTCGCGTGAATTTTCGGTGCCCAGGTCTCTGCGACCTGAAGTCCGCCGCCGAGCTCAACGGCAGCTACGGCACCTGTCTGAACTTCGTCTCCAGTGGCCGCTGGGCCGTGGCCACTGAGGTGCCATGGAGATGGGTCCATGGGACGACAGAATTTCGTGTCTAGGGGCTTCACATGTATTAAACATCTTTTTTTGGGGCTCAATTTTGATCCATGTCCCTATTATATATATACGTATGTATATAAATATAAGATTATAAATGTATATATATATATGTATATTATAAGGTATAGCCGTTAAACCCACTCAACTATGCCCAGTCAGATAAGTGGGTTAAGTTATAAGCCATTTGCGAAATGGCATGAACCCCAACAAACACATATTATATCATATTATAAATGGGGATATTACCATGCAGTTTGCTGGGGCAAAGCCCGTGAATAGTCCTTGCAACCAATTCCGTTGAGAGCTATTTTCGGAACCCCACCAGAGAATTTACCTGGGTCAGTGACGGTCAGTGTCGCAATTATCAGTCAGTATTTCTGAAGGCAAAGTTTCCACTAAACATGACCAGCCATTTGTTGCTTATTTTTTTACCGCACGGGTGACCCATATTAGTGATATAGTCAAAAGATAGATTAGAATGGATCATATGTATATATATATATACATACATACATACATATATACACTGATACTGAGGGATGGTCATCAATCCATGAATAGGGATTCATATAATCCATTGTAAGGGTTCCTATTATGGGATGAATGACCATAAATCAGGTGCGGTCGTTTGACCTTGGCACTGCCATGGATTGTCAGCATGGTTGAGACCGCTTGAAACAGGACGGTGACAAGTCCTTGAAGCCCGAAAATTTGGAGCCGTTGCAGAGCGGCCAGAGTCTTTTTGTACCTTGATCACTGGAGGGGTGCGGGATGTGGTCATTGAGAAGAATGGGGTGTCAAAGATGATGGATTTAATCAAGAATAAGTGAATAATCACACAACAAGTATACAACCCACCAGATTGTATGGGTGTGTCATTCGATATTTCACCAACAATATAATTTGGGGTTGCTTAGCAATGGAGCGTATACAACAACGTAGTGCCATTTTTTAATGGCATAAATGAGGTTCTGAACTATTTGCGGACAAACCCGGGGATTGGTCAAACTCGTCACCTATGTTTCTATTTCATGGGAGATGAACATCCACAACTAGCAGCTCCCAACTCATTGGACGGTGGAGCTTGTTCATCCTCAGTGCTGTTTGGCTCAATGAGAAGACATGTCTTTTTCAATACACGACTTTGAAATTTGTAGTTTTGCCAAGCGTTCGCTGTGAGAAGTTTGAGAAATTCCGCCACCGTCCTGCAAAGTCCGGGACTTGCGGGTGTCGCAAAAATCGTTTCGACGTGGTGTCTGGAGGCCTGCTACTGCAAACCATAGCGCGTGATGGGCACTACAAACTCTCTGCAAGCTTCAAGACTTGAAGCTGGAGCCTACCAAACAGCTGGCGCCATAGAGCCAAAGGTTGCAGCAACAGAACAAGCTTTTGCATTGTTTTGCCCTGGAGGTGACCGAGTTGTGACTTGGGGCTATCCGCCTCATGGTGGTGACAGCTCTAAAGTCCAAAGTCAGCTCAAAGGTGTCCGACAGCTTAAAGCAACTTCCAGCGCATTTGCTGCAGTCCTGGCGGATGGGTCAGTTGTGACGTGGGGCTATCCGCCTCATGGTGGTGACAGCTCTAAAGTCCAAAGTCAGCTCAAAGGTGTCCAACAGGTTAAAGCAACTTCCAGCGCATTTGCTGCAGTCCTGGCGGATGGTTCATTTGTGACTTGGGGCTATCCGCCTCATGGTGGTGACAGCTCTAAAGTCCAAAGTCAGCTCAAAGGTGTCCAACAGCTTAAAGCAACTTCCAGCGCATTTGCTGCAGTCCTGGCGGATGGGTCAGTTGTGACGTGGGGCTATCCGCCTCATGGTGGTGACAGCTCTAAAGTCCAAAGTCAGCTCAAAGGTGTCCAACAGGTTAAAGCAACTTCCAGCGCATTTGCTGCAGTCCTGGCGGATGGGTCAGTTGTGACGTGGGGCTATCCGCCTCATGGTGGTGACAGCTCTAAAGTCCAAAGTCAGCTCAAAGGTGTCCAACAGGTTAAAGCAACTTCCAGCGCATTTGCTGCAGTCCTGGCGGATGGTTCAGTTGTGACTTGGGGCTATCCGCCTCATGGTGGTGACAGCTCTAAAGTCCATCATCAGCTAAAAGGTGTCCAACAGGTTAAAGCAACTTCCAGCGCATTTGCTGCAGTCCTGGCGGATGGTTCAGTTGTGACTTGGGGCTATCCGCTTCATGGTGGTGACAGCTCGGAAGTCCAACATCAGCTGAAAGGTGTCCAGCAGGTTAAAGCAACTTCCAGCGCATTTGCTGCAGTCCTGGCGGATGGGTCGGTTGTGACTTGGGGCTATCCGCCTCATGGTGGTGACAGCTCTAAAGTCCATCATCAGCTCAAAGGTGTCCAACAGGTTAAAGCAACTTCCAGCGCATTTGCTGCAGTCCTGGCGGATGGGTCAGTTGTGACTTGGGGCTATCCGCCTCATGGTGGTGATATCTCAGGTGGTGACAGCTCGGAAGTCCAACATCAGCTGAAAGGTGTCCAGCAGGTTAAAGCAACTTCCAGCGCATTTGCTGCAGTCCTGGCGGATGGGTCGGTTGTGACTTGGGGCTATCCGCCTCATGGTGGTGACAGCTCTAAAGTCCATCATCAGCTCAAAGGTGTCCAACAGGTTAAAGCAACTTCCAGCGCATTTGCTGCAGTCCTGGCGGATGGGTCAGTTGTGACTTGGGGCTATCCGCCTCATGGTGGTGATATCTCAGCAGTCGCAGCTCAGCTTGCTCATGTGTAGTCAGGTTTGCGCAAAGTTGCCCTGCACATCCCTGCGCTACAGAATCCTATACAGTGCATTTGTTTGCAAAATGCGTGTCACAAGGCGTCGGAGCGACATGTTCAAATTTAGTGACTCGCTTAGGAGAACAAAGGGACATCTCCACACATCGAGCGGATTGAAGCACCCCGAGCATGTGAAAGATCATGATCCTGTAAGTGTCCGTAGCAAAGTCGCACTTACGCAGTCCAGTTCCTCGTTCGCAAAGTCGTCCCAGGCTTTGTTGATTGTTGGGATAGCATGGGATAACCAGTGTATCTATAGAATTCATGGACGATATATCATGATATATCGACCATAAACCATAATCATGATAGAATTAACCGATGTTTTGCCCAAGATTAGATGTATTTCCCCACCTGCCAGGTGAGGGTTGTTAGATTTTATCAGAGTTGTTCTTCTCCTCCTCCTTCTTCCTCCTCCTCCTCCGCGTCCTCCTCTTCTACCACCCCTGCCTCCTTCCACGTCCACTGTTGCCTTGCCAACTCTTGGCCAAGCTCTTCGCCAACTTCGGAGCTCAGTGCGCACTGCTGGACCTCAACCTGGGACCTTCCCAGCTCAGTGCGCACCGCTGGACCTCAACCTGGGACCTTCCTAGCTCAGTGCGCACCGCTGGACCTCAACCTGGGACCTGCCGAGCTCAGTGCGCACCGCTGGACCTCAACCTGGGGCCTTCCGAGCTCAGTGCGCACCGCTGGACCTCAAAAGCCAGATAGAATGCCAGAAGATATGCCAGATAGAATGTCAGATAGAATGCGAGAAGATATGCCAGATAAAATGCCATAAGATATGCCAGATAGAGTGCCAGGAGATATGCCAGATAGAATGTTAGAAGATATGCCAGATAGAATGCCAGAAGGTAGGCCAGATAGAATGCCAGATAAAATGTCAGATAGAATGCCAGAAGATATGCCAGATAAAGTGCCAGAATGTTTGCCAGATAGAATGCCAGAAGGTATGCCAGATAGAATGCCAGATAAAATGTCAGATAGAATGCCAGAAGATATGCCAGATAAAGTGCCAGAATGTTTGCCAGATAGAATGCCAGAAGATTTGAGTAGATAATATGCCAGAAGACATGCCAGATAGAATGCCAGAAGATATGCCAGATAGAATGCCAGAAGATAGAAGATGTCAGATAGAATGCCAGAAGATTTGCCAGTAACAAAATGTATAAATGTCATGGTGGGGATCACACGAAGTAAAGTAATTTTATTTATGTTCCAACCGGATTTCGGAATCAAAATGCTCTTCATTTTTCTTCGGGCCATCTCAGGCAAATCCAAGTGGTACCCAATTTCACAAAACATCGAACAGGCATGAACCGTTGTGATGCATCAATAGACTATTCGTAACGATTCGTTTCACCCAAGCTTTATATTACTCGTACCATCATGCTGGCATCATTTTGCCATCCTTCTACGGCGAGGCTGCGATTGCTCCAGCCTTCTACGACGCGCCCAATGTGGAAGTCAAAGCGAAACTGGGCTGCTGTTGATCTGGCTGTGGATCGGAGGAATGTGGGAAGCCTATAAGGCTGATAGATTTTGGGGTGCACATGGTGGTTTTTCACCACACAAAACCAGGATTTAGAAAAAGCTCAGCATGGTGATAAAGAGTTTCGCTGGATGTTTGGATAGGTTCCTGGTGATTTTGTTCAGCTCAACAAATAAAGAAGTTAACAACTAAGGTGATGAAATAATTGGTTTATGATTGATAAGTTGGCTTACAAGCAGGATCAAGCAGGTAAAGTCCATGGTGGGTAGATATCAATCTATAATTAGTTGGCGATGTAACCCCCACATTGCAGGCATCGTCGTTGGGTACGTGGGACGATTGTGGATCAACGGCCACTGGAACCAAATTCTTGGAGGCACCTAGCATTTATTGTTGGCCAATGTAAGAGCTAGTTCTCAGGGAATATCCTCACAACAGGCCAACAATATGGTACTAACGTCCGTACCTCCATTTTAGGATCCTGAAATTCCCATTGAGTGGGTTGGAAACTTGAAGACCAACAACAACCCACAGACGTTTCGGAGGATTGGTGTTTCAAACCCATCCAGGTTTGAATCGCTGGTTAAGTCAATATTCCCGCTTGCAAAGTAAAAAGGGTTCTTCCAACCTACTACAAGGTGATCCGCCCAAACGATAGCTAAGTTGACCTGTAACTTGATAAACTCGGGTTTATGAGAAAAATAACTATGGTTTATGGTGTTTATAAAGCAACTTATGAGTGGGGGGCCTCACCTTGTTCAAAATTGATGGCGGGAAAACCCTGGTTCCCTGAAGTGACTGTCCCCGTTTTTTTAGACTCCCAAAACTCTGCCCAAAGCTAGGATCAAGCCCTTCACGTAAACCCCTTTGTTCCTTGTAATGTGTCTCCCTTTTGACAGGTTATCGGTGGATTTGTTTACTGCAACAACTGTTGAATTTGCTGTGGAGATTTATATAGATTGGCCCGTCACTCCAGTTGAATTCCTGAAGAACATATATAGATAGCTGGGGCACCTCACTTTCTTCCGAACAAAAACATGCTGACAATCGGAACCCTGCAAGAAGTGAGTTTGGAAGATGAATTTCCTGTCAAACACATGGCCATGATATGCTCTGGTTGGTTGGGCTTACATTGTTACATGTTGAATTCCGGAAGGGCAAACCATGGCCAGACCGGAAAATATTGGTGGTGCAGTTATGTTTATCAGTTCAGCTAATGAAATAATCCAGACATAGATTCCACTATGTTTGTATTGATAAATGCATACTAATCCATATACTGTAATTACTATTCCATATCAATCCATACACTCATGCATATTGACCTATGTTCGTCTTTATTAATCCATACAATCCACATAGAAATCAATACACACTCCATGTATAGATTGTTCATATGGATTAATCCCCATTATATATATATGGGTTGTTTTTCCCCATCATGTAGAAGATTATCAATGTGAGGCCCCCCAGTTATAAGTTGGTTTATAAACCCCAGTAACTATAGTTATAAGTACCATAAACCATAGTTATTGGAGTTATAAACAAACTTAGCTATCTTGGGGGCCTCACATTGTATCAATATAGAAATATTAATCCCATAAATCCACCCTTGGGGTCACCACTGCTTTCAGCCCCATTGCTTTGGCGGAAAGGAAATGGATCGCCTGGCTTCGGCGCTGGAAACGCCTGAGGCTCCCAGGCGTTACGCCGAGCGCGGTGGCGGAGAAGATGAAGATGTTAAATCCCAAGTGCCTTGCCGTTTTCCTAAATGGAGGTTTCCTAATAGAAATCCTACTAAAACTCATGATTTGGGAGTACCCCATTTCAAGAAACACGCAAATTTCAGCAAATGAAAATCACTTCTATTACTTGGCATTGATTTACTATCATTCTTATCTACTTCAATACTACACTGAAACGATATATATATATCTAGTTCTGGTACAAGGAAGAAAGATATGGATAGCGAAAATAGCTTCAATACCTCCGGATTTTAGTGTTGATCAATAGCCCAAACATACGCTAAAATTATACGGATGCTGTGCTTTAGAACATGATTGTTTTATTGTTCCACATGATTTTCTCTATTGATTCACCTGTGTTTCCACTCTTTTTGGATGGTTTCCCCATGAAATTTCCCATGGTTTGCCATGGCCATGGCCTCCGAGAGGTACGTGCCACGGGAATGGATGCTGGTGGAGGTGCGGGATGAAAATACGATCGGTTGGATTTTTTGGACGAGAAGATAGGACATGTTTGAGGGAAATTACGTTCTAGTAATTTAACAGTTCGCTATTGAAAATTTCCATAGAAGTAGTTGATTTACCCACTAGAAAATGTGATTTTCCATAGTTACGTTAGTTCACCAGAGGGTATGGGTTATGTATTGTTGATATATACTTGGTGGCTCATCCCACGGATCGTAAGTAGATTTTAACCCCAGCTACAAGTGGATTTACCCTACTTATCCCACTGAAAAAAACGCGCCGGAGATATGATATGGCCTACGGATCCTAAGTGGGGTGAGCCACCAAGTATGTAGTTGCCCCCAAGAGCAGCAAGCGCATGGCTTCATGTGTGGTTGAGCAGGGTGTGCAGGATAGGATCAGAGCTCCCTGCTTGTTAAAGTTGGATTCAGAATTTGTCAGCTGCTACCGGTGTGAGCCCAGCAAAAGCCGTGAATGCTTGTGATTCACTTGCTAGTTACTAATTGTGAGAGAGGACATGCAGGATAGGATAAGTATATGAGCTTGCTGCCTGGTTTGTCAACAGTTGTTTTCTCTTAGTTGACAGAGCGTGGCTGTTATGACGCGTGGGTGTCACGTCTTGACTAGCTTTGCAGTTCTGTGACAATTGTGAAATGTCATCCTCGCAGTCGGCTTGGTTTGTTGTCCTGCTTCATTGGCCTGGTCGGATATCAGCGCGTACGAACGCTCGCCTTGGTGCACGCTTGTTTGTTGTTGTTTTGTCGCTGTATGCATCTATTTGTGCGTTGTTTTGACAGGTAAATTTGAATATGACAGCTGAAACAAAGGCAACAAAAATGCCTTGGCTTCTATCAATGTCTTACTGATCCCTACGTGCCTGACAGGTTACAACGTTGAAGACATGGGCAATTGCCCCAAGCGGTGTGAATTGCCTTTATTGACCTCACAATGATTGATCGATTGGTCGTGTTACCTTAGAATTACCCCATTTACCACCCAGACGTACCTGGTGTGTTTGGAGTCCATGCAGAGTCGGTTCCCCTCTGGTAATTCAAGAGTGCGCTATGGGAAATTCCCGACTGTTTTGGCCCTTTAGCATCCCTTTGTATATTTCCACTATGAAATGGCTTGACCCATGTTCCATTCCAGGGGCATTTTTGTAACAAACGAAGGCATTTTGTAAGGATTTTTTTCTGGTCAACCATGCCATTTTGTAAAAAGCGTGTTTTTTGGAAAAAAGATTGCGGGGTTTCCCGGGGAAAGTTGGACATGTACAAGTAAGACATATTTCCAAACCAACCATTCTATAAGACACAAGCTTATAAGATGATTGGGTTTGGGGCCTGGAAATAAACTTGGGGCATGCATTTTGTAAGGCGCCAATTTTTGTTTTTGTTTTTGGTTCACCGGTGTTTGCTGGGGAATCACACCAAGCCTCCTGCCCAACCCATGTTATAAACTCCAAACCATGGATCTTTGTAAGGTTAACTGCTGGGTCCCTTACAAAATGGTTGCCGTGACGTCACCTGGTAAATGTGCAGGGGGATCCTTAAGCCAGATATGTCCATGGGATGAAATAGTTCCTGCAACTTGGTGGTTACATATGACTGAAATGTGGAAGTTCGTTAAAAACCATTTACAATTTTTGAGGGCCAGAACTGCATAAATGGAAATTTCAATGGTAAACACATCTACCATCGGGGAAAACCTACACAACAAGTTTTGTTGACAAATTTGATACAGGTTTTTTGGGACCAGGTGGATTTAACAGAGGAAATGTTAAGATTCAGATGATCGTGTTGCTGTCTGTCCCCACTCACAATGTTTTCCAAGTTGATTTTTCTTGCATTATCTTGTCTATATTTGTCTACTCGACTCTTCTTGCACTTATTTCCTCAAAACCCGAATTTTGTCACGGCTCTCGATTTTAAATGTCTCTTCCAACACCAAAAAACAGTTCTCCCCTTCCGTTTTTCACCATTCCCCTCTTCCAAACCCTCTTCCAACCGGTCAACCATGGTCGTCCACCATCCCATCCACGCCTCCGAACGCTGCATGGGGAGGCCTACGATGCTGCGTCCAGAGGTGACTACAGCATCACCCACAACCTCTTCCAGCTCTTCCGACGGTACGGTTGCCTGGGGTCCAGCTGGGCTAAGTTGGTTCCATCAATGTTTTATAGATGTTGATTACCCTCTGGTAAACGAACAGTTTGCTATTGAAAATTGCCATATATAGTGGATTTACCAAGTAAAAATTGTGATTTTCCATAGTTATGTTAGCTTACCAGAGGGTAACTATCGTCTATGGATGTTTACAGTAGATATGTATGGATAACGGATGATAACGGGGTTCATGTTCATAAAGCAACTTGGAACTCGGGGCACCTTGCAGAAGATGTGTTGATGTAAAGTTAAAGAATCACTACAAGGCACTGATATGTCGCCAACATTCACCAACCATGTTGTCTGAATATAAAGTGGAGGATATATAGATGGAGAAAATGGCCAGAGTGGACATTGATCCATAAATTTGATTAATTTTGGAGGTAGACAAGATTTTTGATATAGCGCAATACTATCAAAATACATTTGGACACAGGGGTTTCCTGCAGAGGCATGTGGCATATACGTGAAACATGAAGCACATACTCATACGGAGCCTTGCTATTTTGTAGCGACGCAAACCCTCAAATCAACAGTAGTGTTTCAATTGGAGCATCAATGGATGACTATGTCGTGGTGTATCTAAAAATGGTGATACCATCTATCCCTACCGTTCATTTGTCAAGATAGACCATTCTGGCAGATTCTAGCCACTTCTTCAATATGAAGGTAAGGAGGATCTTCAATACGCTGGGTTTATCAAGCACAGCCCCTGAAACCTCATATGAGGTCTTAACAAACCTGGTTTCGAATATGTTGTTTTTCAAGTGGCCATGTTTATCCATTCTTTTCTTTCGTGATTTTTGTTCGGAGGTTCATCGCCTTTTTTCTTGTCACCGACCTTTCCATTGCCTAGGCCCTACGATGAACAGCCGGAGAGTCACGAGAAGTACTTCCGTTGCACACCGCCCAAGTATCGCGGCAAAGGCGGCGTGGAAATCATGACCTGATCTTCGTAAGCGGCGGGGCGTTAACAACGGACCTCCACGGCGTCGTGAAATGCTGTAGGAATGTGATGGTTGTTGATTGATAAAGCCATGCTAACTATATAAAACTACAGTTATGTTATATCCGCCAAAATCCATAGCCAACCAGGTCAATCCCTTCCCCCTATTACTAAACCCCTCCCAAATAATAAAAAATAAGTAAGGTCCATCTCATCCAATTTTTGGAAAATTTCAGATTGGCCTATTTGACTTTTAATTGATCCCCTTTAGAAAACAACTTAAAAATAAAGCTACCATTTGTGGGTTTCGCCCTCTAATAATAAAAACTGGTCAACCCCGGGGTGTTTTTTAATTTATTATTAGGGCCCGCTTCGAAAACCAATTTTTGGCAATATTTTAATTAAGGAAATTCTATTGATTTTGAAATCCGAAAAAATAGTTATTATTATTAATGTTTCAAATTTATTAATAGGGCCCGCTTCGAAATCCAATTTTTGGCAATATTTTAACTGCGTTATAAAAGAATGTTAATTGATTTTGAAATCGGAAACGATAGTTTTTATTATTAAGGTTTTAAATTTATTTATAGGGTTCCCTAATAATAAATACCCCAATAATAAAAACTACCTGAGGTGTTTATTATTTGGAGAGGGGGGTTTAGTATTAGGGGGAAGGGATTAGATGAGTCAACTTAGGTATGGATGGTTCAGGGGCCTCACCTTGAATGACATTTTAGAGTGAGAAGAGATTAAACTGCGTAAATTGCATTTTGTTAAATTATAAAAAATTTACTATTATTGTTATTTTAATGTATTGTCTAGTAAGAAAGAGAAAAGAGTGAATTAAACAGTAAGTACCATTTTCTCATTGCCAGATTTTCTAGCTGAATATGGACGAATCCAGATAGCAGTGTGCTTACTCATGTATATAGATAGATCACATCAATCGGCCTTTTGGACGATGTTCCAACATGTTAGAGACTAGATTTGCTTGGGGTTATCCAGTCTTCTCTTGTTCCATATAACCCAGGATAGGTTGCATAATCGTTTCCCCTACTTTCCCCCTGAAAAACTCCTGCTTAGTACTGGATACATCAATTTGGGGACATGGGTGACTTGGCCATAGATACAGGTGTCTTGAAACTGAAATCATGTCAAGGTGGTTTTGTATATCCCATGAAATTATACTATCCCCATGATATCCCCGTTCTATGCCGATATACCCATCATCTCCCTCAAAAAAGAGCCATCGCCGTGGTCTCTCTGCTCGCCTCGCCGCCCTATCCAGACCGCTGTGCGCCACCAGGAACGGAACAGGAACAAGGGATGAACTACCTATTTTGGGGATCAGAAGGAGGGGTACATGGGGTTTTTTCAATGTCACCAGGGTATTGAAAAAGAGTTTGAGTTTTTAACATGACGGTCGGGTTCGGATGTTTCAGAAATGGTGGTATTCATGTGTGTTCATGACTTGAAATCATGATCCCCAATGAGTACCATGCGATGGTTGGGCAATTTCAAGATCTGAAAGATCGATCCTTTTCTACACCCTGCCTGGTTATACCCACATTGAACACGGTGACAGTGACAGATTCAACCGTGGAATGGTGCACAGCGCGATGGATCAAATCCACGCCTTTACGCGTCGCTGCACGAATGACGGAACTGATGACCCAAAGGTGGTTGTTGGTTGCAGGAGAGGTGACAGTGTTGCGCGTGGGGAGTGCTGAACAGAAAGTGCATGAGTTGTATTTTTAATGTTCAGAAACCCATTCGATTTGATTTGTGGTTTCGGATGAGTTTCGGATGACCATGTACCATGTCCATTTGGTCTTTTGATGGCAGATGTGGGCATGTCTAACATGGATCCAGATGAGATCAATGATCAGCCAGCCAAAAATGTAGATAAATGGAGGGATATCACCCAGCCCAAACTTTGGATTTGCAATGATTTTGCTAGGAAACTAAGCTGCATACGTTTGATGAGGAAAAAGAGTTTGATGACACGATCATCTCCGATGTTCTCCCATGGCCTATATCTTTTGAATTATCCAATGTTTCCCCTACAAGGTAGGCCCCCCAAACGATGGCATCGATAGCTAAGTTGGCTTATTTGCCTAAGTGAACTCTATGGTTTATGGTAGATGCAACTACATCGTTGTTTAGTTTTTAGGGTGGTTAAAAATCAAATTACAACTGAGAGACCCCACCTTGTACCGATGAGCACAAAAACCTGGAGTTAAAATACGTACTCCCAGAACCCACTCTTGTTGGTTTAGTGTTCAGGTATGGTTCAGACATGTCCAGACACATGTTCCCACAAAAAAGTGCTTGGTTTGCTCCTGAAAACTAGACATCGCGTGCCCCCGCCATGCAAACAGCAATGAGATATTGCAGAGCCCAGATCCGTAGGTTTCTTTTCAGCACTGGTAGACTGCTAATGCTTGCGGACCGGCCGACAGCTGGTATTCAGAGCCCAAAAAAACAAGCCTCCTGACGCTTGGACGCTGCAAAACTAGTGACGTCAACAAAGGGAAAAATAATGGCTTGGAAGATAGGCCTGACATTTGAGGTTTTAATTTGAGGTGCCTTTATAACTGGTGACATTTGAAAACTTGAATTTGGGAATGACATATTTCTCTATAAAACAAGTGAGCCCTTTTACCTAGCAACTTTGGGCTTAAATGTTGCAGAATTGTTGCCTCAGGAATCGGAACAAAGTGGTTCAGCTGTTAAGTAATTAAGTATGTAGCTCTATCTTCAAGATGTTGAGGTCTAGAAAGCCTGCCGGGTGGGCACCAAAAATGCCAGTGCTGGCTGTCCGCTCTCACTTCATCGCTACCCAAGCGATCTATTGCCAGATGGCTCACGCCGTCAGACCCGAAAAGGCCTCGCAAACAGGTGTGCGGCTGAAGAGACAGCTACATGGGGATAAGATGGCATTCATGATAGCTACGTTTGTGTATTATCACTGGGTCAATAGTTATGTTGTATATGTCGATGGATAATGGGGGTATAAACAGAACTTGGGGCACCACCTTTTAGTAGTTTGGTGTTGCCCTCTTGCAACTATCGAGCATTCACCACTTAGATTGTCCTGCGAAGTGCTGGTGGTGAATGGAACCATGGTTAGTTGAGTTCCCAATTACGGGTTTATTTCACATATTCTGGATGAATTATAACGACCTCACTGCGACCTCACTAGCTAAAAAAATCACAGCCACGCGACGAAAGAAGGTGAAACTGCTGCATTTGGAAACTGCCGGGCCGCAAGGCTACAAAGTAATGCCAAAAAAAATAGATCATCATAGATATTTATGGCAGAATTATGAGCAAACAAGTGCACAATTATAGACAGTTTAACTAATGACAAGATAATAGTTCATTTTATAATTTGACACCATATTAATGGATAATTATGGATAGTTTTTCCCATCCAAGTATAGCTATCACCACACACCCAACAGTTAACCCACCTCAGGTTCAGAGATGCACTGGCACGAGGCTGTCCGGGTCAATCGAATTCATCCCCCCTACCAATCAGTGGTAACCATAATAACCATAATAACCATCAGTATAACCCAGGAATAAATGGGATGAAATTATGGCTGTGTATGGTTGCTATTGATCAGTAGGAACATGTAGGAACCTTTAGTAATGGGATGATAAACAGCTCTTATATTTGTACAAATATATTCATGTAAGGGATTTGCGATCAGCAGGGTTACCAGTTGGGTTGGGATGATCCTCCAATACTACATAGCCCTACAGGGGTCGTTTGGAGGGTATTTGATATGTGTGGGAAGGGATAAGACTTCATCAAAAAGGGGGTCGATGAACATCCTAACAGAGCGAATACATTCTATTTTTTCTATTTGAAAGGATGTTCTTTAGGGTACAGCAGTAGTCTTTCATTCTTGACTGGAAACCAGAGTCCTTCAAGGAAGATGAAGTCCCTTAAAGTGGGTTTGACTCGGACTCCAACAGTCTACAAAATTCGGACATATTTCCTGTACAAACTATGTGCGCGTCACAAATCAGATTGTAGCAAATGCCGATGAGTGATTGTGTTTTTCACGTAAAAATGTTTTTCTTTGAGAATATTTTGGCATAGAGCAATTTGATCAAGTTTTGCTGTGTAGCGCAACTGCATCAGAGATTTATTCCCCCAAGAATGTGTTGCTTTCCGAATGCAATATTACCCCTCACAACAGGAAAATCAGGGGGTGCAGTTTCACTAAGAAGCTCTTTATATGTAATATACAATTATATACATATATATAATCATATGTATATAGTATATATATATATAGAGTGTATATCTGTATATATATATATATATCTACTATTTATATATAGTATATATATATATATATGTATATATATATATATACTATATATAAAGTGTATATATATATACATATATATGGGTAGATAGATAGTCATAGGGGTCATATCCCAACTTCTGTGGGTCAAAACCCCCAGCGGTTCTACCCTTTCTTTCCCAGCCGCAAGCAGAGACCACCAATCGCCAGGACTTGCGGAAAGCAGCAGAGACCATCAGCAAGGCAAGGGATGAGACGACGCCAGTTTCGGCCAAGAGGGTGGGCTGCTGGATCCAAAAAGTACAAGGAGATAGCCTTAATTCCTTGGCTAAGTTGGTTTATCTGCCTAAGTGAACTATGGTTTCCGATGATTATATCATGCTTCATCTCAGGTACCTGACAAAAAAATGTTTTTTTTGGCTGGTGAATGTACTATTTGTATTTTTTAACCATTGATAGCAAAAGATTGAAATACTAGGTCATATCTAACTAAGGTTGGCCCAGATATCAAAAAATATGCGGTTTTTGCTCCATCTCTTGCTGTTTTTGCCCATGTGACCATGGGGGTCAAGGTACCAAAGTCCAAGTCATAAGTTGTGTTCACCCAGAGATATGGCTCCATCATACCCAAACGTTCGGTGGTGCCCCTCCAGTCATATCCAGTCATGGTTCTTGATTTATAAATGTTTTAAACCACCATTAGCTAGTCCGATATATCTACCACAATTTCAAGTTAAAAATATATATAATGTGGGTAAAACAAAGTCATAAACCATCCCCCAGTCATCACCATAAATATATAGGTGGTATGTAGAAACAATTCCCAGTCATGGGTGGCTTATGGCATTGTTTTACCCAAGTGATTGGAGTTATGTTGACCAACTTAGCGATGAATCGCTGGGGCACCACAAAACGAACAGACGTCACCAGGACCTAGGGCGCGAGTTGCAGAGCCGTTTGGATCTCGCAGAGAAGCGCCTGCGGAGCTACTGCCTGGGGGCCCAGTTTGGCCTTGTTTGGGTCGTTACGGGGAAAAATGCCATGGAAAATGCAGGAAAAAACAGGAATAATTTGGGAAAACCTATATGAAAATATGGGTTTACGGTTGTTGTACTTCGACAAACCTGAAGATCCATGCTTCGTTTTCTGTTGGGCGGCTCGGATCTACATTGCTCCGAACAACAAATCGACTGCAGCAGGAGGTCAGGGAGCCATCCCCAAATGACCTTTGTTCTCCAGTTGTTTTTAAATCTCAAACACGCTGACACTCTTGGTGGGCATATTTTTCTGGATGCTTCTTTCAATATTAGAATGGCCTACAGTGTAAACATCCAAAAAATATGTGAAACTGTGAAACCTTCAAAAAAACTTGCGCACATCCCAAAACATCGCCAAACATTAAAAAAGACGAACAATCACAATCACCCCCAAAAAACTTGGGGTAGTACCCCCGAAAACACGCCAAGTTGTACCACCCCAAGTTGTTCTTCGCGGCCTCCGCGAAAATGGCAACCCGGAGGTGACGAGCAACTTGCCGCACTGCGCGAGGCATGGGAACTGGGTCAACGGTTGGTTCAGTGGGCATTTCAGCGAAATGAGGATTTCGCCAGAAATGGGAACCAGCAGAAATGAACATGTGTCCTGAAAAAACAAGCAGAAATTAAAGGACCGGATAACCCCACAAGTCAACTTCTTCCAATAAGGAGCAACAAATGTTGTAGCGGGACGGGTAAGGAAGGAAAGACAAAGGAGGTGGTGAAGGATCGAGAAGTAAAAACAGTTGTGTGGGACAAAGTCATATGTGAAAGATGGTGTGTGACAAAGTTATGTGTGAAAGATTGTGTGTGAAAGAGGAGCGTGTGACAACGTTGTGTGTGAAAGATGGTGTGTGACAAAGTGGTGTGTGAAAGATGGTGTGGCGAAAGATGGTGTGTGACAAAGTTGTGTGTGAAAGATGGTGTGGTGAAAGATGGTGTGTGACAAAGTTGTGTGTGAAAGATGGTTTGGTGAAAGATGGTGTGTGACAAAGTTGTGTGTGACAAAGTTGTGTGTGAAAGATGGTGTGTGACAAAGTGGTATGTGAAAGATGGTGTGTGACAAAGTGGTGTGTGAAAGATGTGGTGTCAAAGATGGTGTGTGACGAAGTGCCACACTGCCAGCCCAGTGCCACAAGTGCCACGCCTGCCACGCAAAATGCAGGTCCATGTCGCCAAGTGCCCGGCTGCCACTCAAAGTGAAGGTCGATGTCGCCAAGTGCCACGGCTGCCTCGCCAACAGCCACGGCGACAACGGCGTCCACTGGGAACCAAGCGCGCCACCAGAGCCAGCCTAGTGGCATAAGTGCCACGCATGCCACGCAAAGTGAAGGCAGATGTCGCCAAGTGCCACGCCTGCAGTGAGGGCACGCTAAGTTATAACTTAGCTAGTGAACTTAAAGAAGTTATAACTAAGTTACACCAAAGTTATCTTAATGATTGATAACTAAATTATAACTAATTTGTAACTAAGTTATAACTTCCGTAACTTCAAACTGATGATTTTTTGAGCTCTTTTTTGACTACCATAACCATTGATTCACTGATTTTCTTGCTTTTGAAATTCTCTCGTTTCTGAAGCTAAACAAGCCTGAAAACCACTAAGTTTTAACAAAAAAGTAGTTTAACCAAAAAAAATGTGCGGACCACCGCCAAACAAAACTTGGAAATTGCGCGGACCACCGCCAAACAGAAGAATTTCTTTTTCTTGACTGCAGAGTGCGTTTGTTACAAGAGACATATCACATTGCTTCAATGCTGTGCTTGTCACTTGTAGTATGCGGTGTCGGCGTGAGCAAGTAAATAACATAACATTATAGCAATGTAATACCATAACATTTACAACTAACTTTCAGTCGTGGTTTAGCCCTTTAAAGAAATAGCGTCAAGACACATGTGTTTTCAGACACATTGCAAGAAAAGCAACCAAAAAAACAGATAGGCACAGAGGTAAACAGATGCAAACAGATGTAAACAGATGCATACAGATGTACATACATCCGTTTACATCTGTTTACATCTGTTTACATCTGTTTACATCTGTTTACATCTGTTTACATCTGCCTATGGTTTGGTAGGGTTTTTGAGCGCAGATGTAAACAGAAGAAACAGATGTACAAAACAGATGTAAACAGATGGAAACAGATGTAAAAAGATGTAAGCAGAGGTAAGCAGATGTCCACAGATAAAAAAAATCTTCATCTAGAATCATGCCGATACATTACAAGTCCATACTACATACTGTTTTCCACACTGCTTATTTTTGACATTCTTTCGCCTGTTCTCCAACATCTCTTTGAACATACGCGCGGACCACCGGATACGAAAAACATAGCGAGTGCGCCACACATAAGCGCGTAAGAGGACAGAGCAGACAACCGCTCAAACAGCAAAACTCAATGAAGCTGCAATTCAAAGAGAAAATCAAACAACAAAAAACACCCAAATCCTCGAAAACATGAAAAAACAAAGAATAAACAAAAAAAAAATATGTTTGAAGAAAAACCACGTATCCAAGCATTCCCTCCAAGGGAACCAAAAAAAAACAAGAAAAAACATAGCAAAATGCTAACTTCCGTAACTTCAAACTAACTAAAAAACATTTTTTTTCTACAACTAAGTTATAACTAAGTTATAAACTGTACAACTTCTTTAAGTAAGTTATAACTATTCGGGGAAATTAGTGTACTTAAGTCAACTTATAACCTTGACTTATAACCTAACTTAACCCTAGTTATAACTAGCTATAAGTAAACGTGACCTCACTGTGCCACGCAAACAGGCGCCGCGACCGCGGCGTCCACTGGGAACCAAGCGCGCCACCAGAGCCAGCCTAGTGGCATAAGTGCCACGCCTGCCACGCAAAGTGGACGTCGATGTCGCCAAGTGCCACGCCTGCCCGCAAAGTGAAGCAGATCCACGCAAAAAGCCGCGGCGCCCGCCAGACCCAAGCGCGCCACCAGAGCCAGCCCAGTGCCGTAAGTGCCACGCCTGCCATGCAAAGTGAAGGTCGATGTCACCAAGTGCCACGCCTGCCACGACAAGTGAAGGTCGATGTTATCACTTGCTGCGCCTGCCACGCAAACAGCCGCGACGCCCGCCAGACCCAAGTGTGCCACCAGAGCCAGCCCAGTGCCGTAAGTGCAACGCCTGCCACGCAAAGTGAAAGTTTATGTCGCCAAGTGCTGCGCCTGCCACGCAAACAGCCGCGGCGCCCGCCAGACCTAAGCGCGCCACCAGAGCCAGCCCAGTGCCATAAGTGCCACGCCAGCCACGCAAAGTGAAGGTCGATGTCGCCAAGTGCCACGCCTGCCAGCAAGTTGTGTGGTGACAAGTTGTGTGTGGACAAGTTGCGTGTGAGTAAGTTGTGTGGTGACAAGTTGTGTGTGGATAAGTTGTGTGGTGACAAGTTGTGTGGTGACAAGTTGTATGTGGACAAGTTGTGTGTGAGGTCACGTTGTGTGTGAGCAAGTTGTGTGGTGACAAGTTGTGTGTGGTCAAGTTGTGTGTGGATAAGTTGTGTGGTGACAAGTTGTGTGGTGACAAGTTGTATGTGGACAAGTTGTGTGTGAGGTCACGTTGTGTGTGAGCAAGTTGTGTGGTGACAAGTTGTGTGTGGTCAAGTTGTGTGTGGATAAGTTGTGTGGTGACAAGTTGTGTGGTGACAAGTTGTATGTGGACAAGTTGTGTGTGAGGTCACGTTGTGTGTGAGCAAGTTGTGTGGTGACAAGTTGTGTGTGGTCAAGTTGTGTGTGAGTAAGTTGTGTGGTGACAAGCTGTGTGTGGTCAAGTTGTGTGTGAGCAAGTTGTGTGTCAATAGGCGGCGGGCGGGCGGGCGGGAGGAGGAAGGCGGCAGTGCACAACCAAAAACAAGAACCCCACACAAAGATGTGGGGAATTGGGAAAAATTACATTTAACTGGTCAAAATCTGGGTTTAGCTAGGCAATTATGCGTTTAAGTTGCCGACATTATGATTTCAGTTGGGCAAGCGCAACTAAAGGGGCCTCAAATACTTGGTTTCGGTTCCACATTAATGGAGCAGTTGGATTTGTGACGGATATATCATCATAATTCATGATATGTCTACAATTCGGTGGGTAAAAAACATGGTAAAACCAAATAATTTTGTTGCTCCATTCTGTGGGAATATCCAAGTCCAGTGGTTTGAGCGGCTTTGTTGTGTAGTAAAGCCAATCTTTAATGTTTAGTGAGCCGGACCATGGCTGTGTCTGAAAATATGGTGTTAATGCAGCTGAGGATCCAGGCGGCTGACCCATTCAAATCGACACCACCGATGCCGGGTGGTGTACGTGGGCACTACTGTCCGCGTGCTTCAAGCCAGCTGGTTTGCTTGGCAATGGACGACTGAAATTGCAAAGTGGAAGGTCTCGGTCACCTTTGAGGGGTCAACCAGAGACACCAGTGGAAGAAACCGCTGATCAAAACGTCTGACAAAGCGTCAGCGAAGGCAAATCCAGATCCAGTTGATCCCGAGAGTCCCTAAGTTTCGCGAGCAAATCTGTTTGGTGGTTAGATTTTTTTCATATATTGGGAAGAATCACCCCAACTGACGAACTCATATTTTTCAGAGGGGTAGGTATACCACCAACCAGAAATTATTTTTCGATGAAAATACAGTTCCGGGTGCCCAAAGATCAAATGGATCAAATATAATTTTCCCTATCACCGAACATCCGATGGAATTGGGCAGCTGAACATACCCCAATGCACCATGTATGGAATATTGCCCAACATCTACTTGAAAAATAGGCCAAATGTAGGAAACTAAATATTTCTATATATTTCTGACATGTCATACATGTTGTCCATTTTCCAAGAAACATCCTTCAAGAATTGGCCCATAGATAAACCCTGTATAGAGTGTCTTGGAACGTGGGCGCCACATAGCTTGGCAGGCTGGAGTCGTTCCCAAAGAGAGCGACGTTTTCGAAACCGTGGTGGAGAAAGCGGACAAGGCCTTCGGGCCACCTCTGCAGTGGTGCTCCCGGGGCGCTTGTCTTTCCACTTGAGGAGGTAAACTGATGTGGGTTTGTGAGAAAATTGGGTCCTCCCCTACAATCATCCGGTACCTCATAGGTTTCCTCAGACATAGTTAGTCTGATACCCCCTGTTTCTCATGTTTTAAGTGTTTACATGTGTTTCCCTTCCATTTAAAATCCACCTTTTAGCAGGCTGCACTATAGTCTGAATATGTATTACTTATTTGTCCTCATTTTGCCATTTATTATTAAAGTTTTTGTCATGTGTATCATTGTGTATCGCATTTTTTTTACAAGGTGAGACTCCCCACTGATAAGCTGGTTTATAAATACATGAACTACATAGTCTACATAGCTATATCACAGATATTATATATATATAATGCGTCTTTTCCGTTTGAAAATATGGGCATTGTTTGATATGGGGGGTTTTCCTAGGTATTATCTATTTTAATGGGACTTTCCGTGAAATAAACCATCCAGATATTGGGATACCCCCATGGCCGTCGAAACCAGGCACCGGAAGTTCAGGAAGTTCTGCCGGAAGCGGAGTGAACTTGTCTGAACAGCACTTCCGGGGCTCTGGTGAAGGTGGACTCCCACCAAAAATATGGACTCTACGATCAGAAACGGTGATTGAACTATATGAACAATGCTGAACATGTCGATTTATGCCAAAAAAATGGATTTGACAATCAAGAATTTGTTGTTTCACTATCAAACATGGTGATTTTACCATCAACACTTGGTTGTTTGATGTTGTTTTACCATCAAAAATGGTGACTTTCGCAATAACAAGTAGGCAAAACAAGGGATTTAACTACCAAAAGTGGGGGTTGATAGTTGATTTAGATGATTAATCATTACCCTATAGGTGAATTCGATGGTTTGTTGTGACGAAAAAATCAACTTAGTTTTCTTTAATCCAACACAGAGTATGGGGTCAAGATAAGTGAACCCTCCAACCATCTCCGGATGTGGAGTTTTACGTAGAACATGGTAGAAATACATCAGCAAGGAAATGAATTTAACAACCTACAAACCTGTGCCCGGCCATATGACAACCATCACGGATGGTGGAACGGTAGTTGTTTCCTTGTTTCATTTCACTTCTGTGTTGCATGAGGTATACCTAAGTGCAAGCGATTACTGTCCACTGCACTAACAATAACACTACAGTTACTATAGAATCTGGTTTCAAAAGCAAAGAACAACAGTCTATATAGATACTCATTGAAAGATAAGGATGAGGATGAGGATGATTGTTATGAACTTACTCAGCTTTCTTCATTTAAGTGATCTTTTTCACCTAACCAGTTGCAGTTTCACTGCCTCCGTGCCGAGGCAGAGCCAGGAAGTGCATGAGGAACTCAAGGCAGGCAGTGGCATCATCACGGACAAAACACTTTTTGAACATGTCGTAAAACAGCCATATATGCTACCTACTTCAGGATTTTTCAATGTTTTGCTTGAAGGTCAACAAAAATGTATGTTTTGGCACGTGAAATGATCCGTTTGACATTGGAATCTTCCATTAAATAGCTATAAATATGTCATTCGTTTATCCATGATATTCCTATGTATACTCCTTATATCTGGGCAAAATATAGCGACTTCACAACAAGTTCATGGTAAGTGATGGTTGGGACTAGTGACATCATCCCAAAATCTGTTGCTTTTTCCGGTTTGGGTACTCCTGTTTGTTTGCCCCAAATAACTGAGATGCAAACCACTGCTGAGAAAACATCTGGATGTACTCAGAATTATGTAGCGGAGCTAAATCAAGATACAGTTTCAAATGTTACTTAACATGTGAGATTGAAGCAGCAAATGTGTGGATTTACCCAGCAACAAGTGGACAGGTTACAATCAAGCATTAGATTGAGCGGCAAAAGTGGGGACTGTCCTGTATCCCTGTATAACTTGTATGGGACTTTGATTGTAAATGCACACGGGACATGACATGCCCACGGGCAAGGGAAACTGCATGCCGCTTGAGGCTGTAGGTGGCGCCCAAAATAGACCTACTATAAACCTCGATTCAATGTTTCTGTTGGTCATATCTGTGTATTCGTTCGAATCGCCTGACTGCTTCATATTGTTCAAGGATGTTGAAGGCATTTTTGCTGTGCGATTTAGAATTGTGGATTAGAAGCAGTCATTGGGGTACTGGGGTTGGTGCATCGAGCTCGAAATAAATCAATATCTTCATAGACCCTCAATTGAACTCAAAATGGGTATGTACCGCCGTCCGGTCATCAAACGTTGCAATTGGACATCCCCGAACTAGTGAGGTTTTGATTTTCCAGAGAATCATGTTTGATTACCAGAGGGTACCCCATTATTTGAATATCAAGTCAACTGAGTGGAATATATATATATATATAGTGCAGTATTCCAATAATATATATAATATTATCATAACCGGTTGTAGGCTATAGGGGACTATTAATATATCTATGATTACTTGTATACATAATAATGATTATATAATTATATATATATATACACATATTTCAGGAATATTCACGAGTAAAACCCCCTGAATTCTGGGTCAACTAGTCGTCAGGGTCCACAAAATTTCTCCGCAAGGTCCCTGCCGGTCCAACTTCAGTTGGCATGGAAGCCTGAGATGGGATAGTTTTTGGGACCGTCTGACACGAATGTTGGGATACTCCCCACATGGCGATTTCGATGGAACATATGGCAAAATGATGGCGATTTCAAACGATGTTTTTGTCATTGTTGGATGGTGGTATTGGATTAAAACTGTAATGTTTTTTTTCTGTGTTAATCATTTGTATAACATTTAAGAACCCAATTTGGGGTGATATCTGATCTTGACCCATACTCCTACCTACGCGTATACGGTCAAACAGTTTGGGGTGGCATCAACTTGGGGGTAACAATTTATATATGGATATGTATATATACAGTATATATGTATATATACAGTATATATAAACATTGTGAGATTGGGAAATAAGCAAAAACACACTTAAGATATGTATGGATCCACGGTCATTCCGCCCGAGGTTTCCAAGACCCAGCAGCTCTGCGGTCGTCACCGAGGAATCAGATGTGCGCTGCGCCAGCGGTTACGAGAGCTTTCCCTGGGGGGTTCACCATGGTTTAATCATGTCTAACCATGTTTAACCATTAAATGTAGCAACTCATAAATTGAATAGTTATGAAAGGTTTCGAATGTGGTTTTGAACCACATTCTATTGTTGAAGGTAGGTCTGTTTATAGTTGGATATGGTTTGAACCATTTTGAACCAACAAACACAAATTAATGGCCCCACATTTTGCTCAGTGAGTGACACCCCGGAGAGTGACACCCCGGAGGATCACTCCATCTAGTAACTGGCCACAAATTGAGGACTTACTAACCAAGATGTTCAACAAGTTTCGATCCGTGGGATGAATCTAAGTGTCATCAAACATCAACGTTGGTCAAGAGATGCTTGTAGATCAAGCATCCTCAAACATTGTTTCCTTGTAAAAAGGTTTTTGTTCAATTGTCAGGATTGCTGTTAGCTGTTGCAACACCAGTTCTTGAACCACCAGTTTTGGAGCAAAACCATGTCGTGTCTTAGAAACCAGTTGCATACCTCACCAATTGATGGCTTCTTTGGCTGTCTCAGGCCTTGGAAATTTCTAGAAAAGTCTTTTTTAGAAATTCATGGGTTGGTGAGAAGATGTGGAAGTGTGCGGGACTGGGGGGCTAAGCATTGCCTGCATCCCTGCAGCTTTGATACTAGGCTCAGGCTTCTGGCAATAGCTAGATTTGGCCATGCCTCGTCCTAAGAAGAGGAGGGTTGGGGCTTCACTAGATCCCAACTATGGCTTGCTGAACCCTTTGCTGCAGCTCGCTTTGCAGAATCAATTGGGAGACTGGGAAGCAAGCAGTTGGGCTGTCAAAGTGGCAAGGGGGTGAGGTCTTCTTCATGGTTGGGTGGGTTGGGGGGTCCACATTTGAGTTTTGCAGTTTTGCCCTTCACTTCCAGTGAATAGCTGAGGAGGATCCTTGCCTGGCAATGTTCCCCCCTGGTGCAGCTGATCCAGAAGAGGAGGATGAAGATGATCAATCAGGCTCAAGTGATGACTCTGGGAGCCCTGGCTGCACTGCTTTTGGGAGGAATGGTTGCTCAGGATACACCTAGGGTGTACCTATGAATTCTTTTGATATACATGTATATAGATATACATATATAAATATGCATGAGCAGAGTTTTAGAATGAATAAATAAATAAATAAATAAATGTATATATGTATATATATAGGCTTATATATGTATTTATAATATGTATTTGTTGTGCCATTGTGCAAATAACAAACATGAACAAGCATACATCCACATAAGGTGCAAAGAATGAAAGAGAGCTGAGAAAGAGGGACCAGTGCATAGACTGCATCCCCACTCTTAAACCTTGATGCCTGTACTATGACCATTCTTGAATGCAGCTTGGATTCAGGACCAGAAAGACACATGTAAGCAAAGCCAGCAAGCACAAGAAAAAGGAGAAAGGCAAAAAAAAGAAGAAGTCCAAGAAGGACAAGAAAAAGAAAAAGAACGGACAGTTGTCAAACTGTAAAACTGCATTTGCATTTCATCATTCTATGGCCATTGATTCATGACATTGCCCAGTTGGCTTTGAAGTGATCAATGATTGAGATATTTGGTTTGTGGTTCATTGGGTTGATGCCCAAAGGCTTTGATAGCCCTATGACTATGATTTGCCACTGGTGTGGGTGAGCCCTTTTCTCATTGACTCATGCTGTGGGCAGGATCCTCATCATCAAGCAGCAGCACTGACTCTGATCTTTGCGACGATGTGGACTCCAAGAAGGTCAAGCAGTGGCCTGGTCTAAGGTGCTATGTGGTGCTGCTAGGTATGGGGTTCAGTTTGCATCATTTACAATGCCTTTGGCTGTGTATAATGCAGGTGTGACCCAAGCTTTGGGCATTTCACACTGTATAATGGTCAGGCTTTGCCTTTAGAGATGGATGGGGGCACACTTCATCAAATTTTAGTACATGCCCATATGGTCCCATATGATCCCATATGCATCTGACTGGTATGTACTTTTTTTTATATAGGCTCACATGTGCACATTCACATCAATAGATATATACTATATTTATGTGCTTGTTTGTATGGTACATTATACTAATCACATGCACCAAAGCATACACATGAGCTTCCTCACCAATGGCATGGACAGTGGCTTTGTGAGCCCTATTGGCCCAGGTGGTGGACCTATTTGGGCCCTGACTTTGGCAAATGGGGTTTGGATGGGCCACCAGCATCTGTCCCTGGCTACACCTTGAGGAAGAACTGCCTGCCAAGGCCAGGGTAGCCATGGTGGTGGTAAAGGGTGTGGCTTGTGTGGCTGGCAAGTGGGGCAGACTGCAGAAGATTTGCAAGTTAGCTCCACACCCTCAAGACCCCCAAGAAACCAGCTCAGTGACACCCACCTGAACAGTTGAACAGGACAGAAAGAGTCAGACAGCTGGTGTTCATGGAGCCAGACAGGCTCAGTGCAGGCATCTTGGTTGAATTCATCAGGTGGGTGGTTTGTTTGTTTTTTTTTTAAGTGGTGGTAGTTTCACTTTTCATGTTGGTTGGTCTTGTTATGAGGTGCTCTTCTAGGAGTTTGCACATGACACAGGTGAGTACATAATACATGCTAGGGGCCACTCATTGAACACTTGAAGGCAGACCAGGCCCCTGTCATGCATTCCTGCCCCCAGCAGCCCAATGGCAGCAATGAGCTGCACCCAGCAGATTCATTTGAGGCTTGCTCAGCAGCTTGACAGAGATGGGCCTGGAGCAACTTTGCTACATCATCACTGGTTTGTCACCAAAGACACAGATATCAGATTTGATGTGCAAATCCAGGGGGGAGCTGACTCTAGTTTGCAGTTGGGGGGGGGCTTGTGGGATGGAAGGGTTGGTTCAATGGGTTAAATGCAAGAATTACAAAAACAATGCTATGTGCAATGGCCAAAGGCATCTTGTGCCCAATTGCACTTTAATTCAAACATTTGTTTTCCACTGGAGGCTGTTTTTGGGGCTGCAGCACAATTGATGGCTGGCTGCCTGGCTGTGCACTAAGGAAAAGAGTTATGAAGCAGTGCAGGGACACCAAGCTGAAGACTTCTGGTGATTCCAGGCTTGCAGCAGTGCCAGAACCTTGGATGCATAATTGCTGGTGGATGTGCATGCCCATGCCACTTGGGAGCATTGTATGTACTGCATGACTGTGCAATGCAGCTAGCCATCTTGGAATTTGAAGCTCCACAGCTAGGCCATTTGCCAATCCCACCTCCTGTTGCCACAACACATTTTTAAGACCAGCATGGATGCCTTGCCTTCTGCAGCCCAGGAGGACTTGAGCAACATCCAGCAAGTGGCAGTGGAACTGGGCTGGGAAGGTTTGTGGGCCAAGCCAGGTGGTGGCACAAATCCTGGCAATTCTGGCTTGGCAGTTCCTGACTACACTTCAACCAAGTGGAATCTTGGATTGGTCAGCACCACAGTCCTCACATACATCAGGGCTTAGACATTCACAAGTAACAACACTGACTGCACTAGTGACAATTATGTGGCTTGGGGTGGCACATGCCCAAAGATTGCACCAGGAATAATGGAGAAGTGGTGGTGAAGACCAAGGACCAGTTGAGATCTCTTGCTCTAGGCCCCCCTGGTTGCCCATGCACTTTTGGATACAGGGGTGCCAAGCATGTGATGGTAATTGCTGGGTCAACCGATGGAAGCATACCTGAGCAATTTGGTTGCACTAGTGGGCAGCAGAGAGGTAAAGAACCATGCTGCATTGTATTGATCATTGTGCATCATACATAGGGTGCAGCTGCAAAGCAAAAACACTTTTCAAGCTGGCCCCCATTCATCACTGGGTTGTTTGGATGCATGATTGAAATTAGCATTGCCAAATTCACATGCCAGTCAGTCACTTTGCATATTCTGGCAGCCCAGGTATGCCATCTCTTGTGATGAAATCTTCAATGGTGCTGCAGGATCCAAGAAATGGTGGAACCAGGTTGCCATTTAGCTGCATGGGTCAGAGCAGGGTCATAGCAGGGTTGGTTCTGGTTGGGTAGCAGTGGTGGTGGTGAGTGGGGCTGGTGTTGTTGGTGGTGGTGGATGGTTGTCAGTGGTTGTGGTGGTGGTGCACCCTTTCCATGTTCCAGCTTTTGGCACAGCCCTAAGGCCAAGCTGGCAGCTCATGAGATGCAGTGTGGTGATACTGGGGGCTGGGCCAAGAAGTACTTCAACATGTGTGCAAGACCCTTGGCAGCTTGTGGGGGGATGCCTTTATTGATGGCTAGTGCTTCCATGAGGACTTCCTTAGGTGGCATGAGCTTTTCATGGGCAGTGCAATTTGCATGAGTCTTGCATTGCACACCCAATGGAATTCACAGACATAACAAGATATATTTAATATACATACCTATATTTATATGTATATATAAATAATGTATGCTTACATATATGTATATATAACTTATACATGCTTCAACCCATTTAAATGTGATCTTGCTTCAGTGCATTCTAAAAAAATCTGTTAAGTTTAGATGATATAGCTAACCCATCAGCAATCCTTGAATTGGGTTTCCCAACATCATCACTATTGTTGGCTCTTTTGAACTGTCTTTGCTTTGCTTGGCTTGGTTGAATTGCCACAGCCATGTCCAAGAATCACAGCACAACTAAACTATAGTTCAAAGATTTTTGTTCAAGGGTCTTTGGGGTATTGGCCCAAGGATTGGGAGATGAAAACTTTCAAAGGACAGCTATGATCCAGGAGTACACCTCCAAGCATGGGGTGGAAAGCACCAGACTTGCAACCTGGCTGCACATGGTTCTTACTTTGGGGGCAGCTTGAAGTCCATTACCCATGGTATGATCCTATTTAAAAAAAGTAGGGCCAGAACTAGTGCCAACTAACCATGCCCAAGGAGAATGGGATGGTACAAAATGCATGGCCAGCAATTAATCATTAGATGGTGGGACCTGAACCTGGAGGTTAGCAGGAACTGGGAGGGGTCAGG